CCCCAAAACCCCAAAACCCCAAAACCCCATTTTTGTATAATTTTATTGAAACCAGCTCAAATGTTCGCAGCTATAGGAAATTCATACAGCCAGGAAGCCCTTGGGGTTCCTGGCTTAGACCGAAATTATTCTAGTGTGAGAGGCAACCAGAAAAGCGTATGCAACCTTTTGGAATTTCTGCTAAAATTTATGTCCTGAACATAAAGTTCCTTCAGAGAATTATCTGTTAGATAATAGTTTCTTACTTGGTTTTCATTCTTCAACTGTAAAGGTTACTTTGTTAGACTGAGGAAAAGACAAAATGTCTGGCTTTAAGGAACTTTTCTTGTTAAGATATTGCTAACAGTTTGTAATATAGCCTGGACTTCCATCAGTGAATCCTTATAATGACACATCGGCTTTGTCTCCGACAAGGCTGGCTCCTGGCTATATAACTTCGCTTGTGAAGAACCAGCTCAGGACTAAGAAGTTCATGAATCTAAAGAAATTATACTCCCGAAATTTGAAAGAAAATACAAAAATTAAGGATAAAAGCAGGATCTCTTCGATCAGAAGGAAAAACTGTTCAGTCCAGGATATTCTCAAGGAAAATAGTTTCGAAGCAAAGGATCGGCTGAGTGAGTACCTTGGCACCTCTTAAAGGAGAGTTCAATATTCAAAATATCACTTACCCTGATTAGAATGCTTTTTGACAAACCTTGGGCAGAAATTTTAACCTTTTAATTTTACCTGATCCGTCAGTTGAACTTTTTCAAAATAATCGGTAAATTTAACCAAAAATGTTAGCTTCCATGAAAGTAAATTTAAAGCCAATTACTAAGAAAGAGAGACTTCTCAAGTTAAAAACCAAGAGAAAGCTGAAGCATGAGAAATTCATAGGTAAATCTTGTTATAAAGTCCTTAAAATTAACTGATAATTCTTCTGTAGAGAGTAAGAGCAATAGGTCTCCTTCTTCTGGTAGCAGGAACTACGATGAAGCATTGAAGTGTTTAAGCATGACTTTGGAGAAAGAGAAATCTCTCTCAAATTTTGATAATAAATCCTTACCTAATATTATTACAATGAAAGGAGCTATAAGTAATATTACTCAGAACAGAGGCCCCATCCGGAAGGTTCAGCCAAGCAAGTCTAAGAAGCTGCAGAAGATGACTCTTAGACGAATGCAAGAGTTGAACAAGAAGTACCAGATCCTTGACAAGAGTGATAAGATGCATAACTTCATGCAGAATATAAGCAGAGATAACCCGTTTTATGATAATCATAGTAGCTGCAAATAAGCTATCTAATGAACTTAATGTGCTGAACAGTACTATCAAGAATGTGCAGAGGAAGAAGAAAATTGATTTTGAAAAATTAGCTACTAAGCTTAAAGAGAAATATGGTAATTTTATCATCTAACCTACAGTACGGAAGAAGAAGTTATTTCCTCCAACGGTTGATGAGATCATACGGTATAATACCTTTTCAACTAAGCCTGAGAATGTCTTACCTGGATCAAGGGATAGTTCCCCAGTGAGGTATAAGAATTATGACCATTTGTCACTAGGAATTTACCCACAGTAGCATTAGCTTAATCTTTTAGACATAATTACTCAGACACAGTGGATGCCAGTGCAAGGAAGTTAAATAATAAAAGCCCAGGCCAACAGATCTTTGTTGACAGATAAGAAAATTCAATATTGGATCTCATAATGGGGTTTTGGGGTTTTGGGGTTTTGGGGTTTTGGGG